CCTCTGTCCTTCCCCCTGACCGTCCCCCTCTGTCCTTCCCCTGACCGTCCCCCTCTGTCCTTCCCCTGACCGTCTCCCTCTGTCCTTCCCCCTGACCGTCTCCCTCTGTCCTTCCCCCTCACCTCACCCTCTCTGTCCCCACTGTGTCTTCTCCTGTCCTTCTCCTCTGTTCATCTGCCCTCTTGTCCCCCTCCCTCCCCTCCAGAGAGTGTAACAGCAGAAGGCAGAGCTCAGGGTGGGGGTGTGGGGTTTAGTACCAGGTCTGGGCCCTGAGTCCCCACTCTGCAATTGTCTCTGTGGCCACAGTTTCCCCATCCACAAAGGGCAGCCAGTACTGATTGTGTCTCCAGAGTTCCAGACTCCTTGAAGGACAGAGTTCTCACCACGAAGGACCACTTAGTGCCCATCAGTCAGGGGAAAGGCTTTAGAAAACTCTTGTCGGTGGTTTGAAGTTGGGGAGGATGGTAACTGGGGGTTTGCTTTTTGTTTCACACAGGGAGGGTCCTGGTCTTTCTGGAACTTTCTCTCTTAGTGTGGAAGCTACAGGCTCTGTGTATTCTATGTCCTGCGTGGCTGTGCTGTGTGGGGTTGTCGGGAGACATGCTCAGTTTTATTCCTGGTTTTCAGAGCTGATTTCTTTCTTTCTCTCAGATTTTGATTCGTCTCAGCAAACTCTGCGTGCAGGAGAGTGCGTCGGTCAGGAAGAGCCGGAAGCAGCAGCAGCGGTTGCTTCGCAACATGGGTGCCCACGCCGTGGTCCTGGAGCTGCTACAGATCCCCTATGAGAAGGTGAGGGGCCCCTAACACCCCAATGCTCCCACACCCCAACACCAGCCACGCCTCCACACCCTACGCCGTGGTCCTGGAGCTGCTGCAAATCCCCTACGAGAATGTGAGGTTCCTATACCCTAACGCCCCAACACCACCCACACCCCGTTCCCTGGCCTTGGAGCTGCTGCAGATCCCCTACGAGAAGGTGAAGGGCCCCTGCATCCCCCCATCTACACCAGACATCGTCCTCTGTGCAGGGTTTCTCTTGAGTTTGTTGATGGAGGTGGAATTTAGGGAAGGAGAGTGAGCGACGTTTCCCCCTTTGTGGTCAGAGTGCTCCTTCACCCTCTAAACCCAGAGAGGCAGCAGTGGTGTCCCCATTTCATAGACGAGGAGACTGAGGCCTGGGCAGGAACCACTTTAAAAATACTCTACCTTAAAGCATGCAGGGGAGCCTTGGTGGCCTAGTGGGTAGAGGACTGTGCTCCAAACTCAAGGCTGGGCATTTCGGTCCACTAGTTGTTCTGTGGGAGAAAAATGGGCAGTCTAACCTCATGTGACTATAGCTCCCGTAAGTCAGTTATCGGAGAGAGGGGGAGGGGAGGAGG